CCTTTTTCTTCACTCCTGAACCAAACACATTTTTTTCCTTCAACAAAAAGAAAAATTAAAATCTATTTTAAGTTTTTTTTTATTTTATCCAACAAGGCAACAACACAGCCTTAGATCAACCAAATCAATTGTTTGCCTAGTAGTTTGGATTGATGGAACCAATGTTTTCAAAATCGAACCGGAGGTCAAACCATTTTGACTTTTGGTTTATGGTTTTAATGGTTCAACCGGTGAAAAAATTGGGTTAATTAAAATTTGAAAATATATATTAAATCAATTATAATGCAATTTATATCAAAGAATTACTTGTGGTGCTGATGTTTAAAACTTTTAATTTTATTGAGGAGAATCACAGTTCGAATCTCACAAGTGACAAAGTTGTTCAATTTATGCAATTCTACCATAAATATATCTTAACGCGTGGTTTGCCAACAAACTTGAACCAGATCAAGCGGCACGAATCTAGTTGGGCATCCAAGAGGGCTAGTGTTCAAACCTCACCGAACTCATTTTTCCCTTTAAAATCTTTACAGCATTCTTTAAAAGATAGTCTTTGCAGCTTACCTCACAAGACACGGGGTGCGTAAGTGGGAAATGGCTTGCTTACTCTTCATGAGACCTGGTGTTCGAAACCCAGTGGAGACAAATTTGTGAGAATTTTGTCCCAAGAGTTGACCCGGCCGGTTTGACGGGTTACAGGTTCTTATCGGTTTGGACGGTCTGAGTGGTTCAATAGCTTAAACGATTTGAAATACTCAACTGATCCGTTTCTTACACTAGGTGCCGGTCCAACCGACTGGTCCGGTCCAATTTTCAAAACCTTGGATGGAACTCCCCACTTGCTACCAGCACACAAGGACAAGCAATTTATTACATTAAACTCCTTATCTAAATATGGATTTAGTAAAGAGTTTCATAAAACTAAATACTCTTGTTAATAGTCAACTAAACATTTATTAAACCCCTAAAATTAACTAACTAAATCACCAAAAAAATTTTCTGTCCAAAATCACTTCAAAGTTTAAAAATGAAATACGGATTTAAAAATGTGATGACTCCGATCTGGGTGGATCAACTGGAAAAAGACTTCAAAACTTGGAATCTAATTAAGAAGACTCAATTGCACTACATGAATAAAAGGTAAAAATTTATTTTTAGTTCTTTACCTAGAATCCATATTCCCTCAGTGAAGTACTCCATGTAAAGGTGGTGCCAATCTTGGACACCGTTAATGGAGAAGCATTCTTTGTTTTGATAATAAGTCTATTGACAGGATATACATTGCTGTTGGAATTTAGTGGATTGCCGAGCTATGTCTGGCCAATAATACCCTGCTCGTTGGATATGGCGATAGAGGCTTATATGATTGTCGTGGCCACATGTGCGATCATGAATCTCCCTACGCTTACGATATGCCTCCTTGTCGCTGACACACCTAGCCAAGATTCCACTAGGGAGGCAATAGTATAGCTCATAAGAAATAATGACATAGCCAGACAGGTCCCTCAAAGGCACGTTAGATTTTTGCTACAATAAAGCACTATAAATTGCATATTGCCAGTCAGTTCGATCAGGTAATTCAAGCAAAACAAACTCGCAACCACGATAGATGGGTTGTTCTTTTCGAACAATCTAGATGATGAAGAGATTCTCGACCATTGGCACCCTTAAAGCGATTGTGGCCAAGGCATCAGCCAATCGGTTCTCTATCCGCGGTACCTACCCATATCTTATGCTAGCGAAGGACTGCTCCAAGTATTGGCTGAAAGTATGATCAGGCGCGAGATGTTCTTCTTGGACAGCAAAGGCACCTTGAACTTGTCCAAGGATCAAACCAAAATCACCAATGACTTTCAAGTGCTGCACACCAGCCTCTTTAGCCAAAGCGAGGCCAATAAGATAAGCTTCGTACTCTGTGGTGTTGTTTGTGCATTGAAAATCAAGCTTGAATGAGAATACCACATCATGATGTTTTTCATCTCTGAGGACAACGCCAGCCCCAGCCTTTTTAGCCGTAGAAAAGCCATCAAAGCACAATGTCCATTCTTCCTCAATTTCCTGTGCAATAGCAATCTCACCACTTGGGACTTCATCAAAAATAGGATACTGGACTTCGCCAAAGAACTCAGACAGCAAATCTACAACAGCTTGCCCCTTTATGGTAGTGGGATTGATGAATGGGCTAAGACTTAGTGATAGGTTGTATCTTATGAGCCAAGAAGTAATGTCGAAGACGTTGAGATACATAAATTAATGCAAGACAAATTTTCTTAACAAAAGGGTACCTTTACTCGACGCCTTTAAGGTTTCTACTGACATAGTAGACTGGCTGCTCCTTGCCTTCTTGGTCGTCTTGGGCAACTAGTGCACTTACAACCTTGTCAATAGTAGACAAATAGACTTTAAGTGGTTTACCTCGGATAGGGACAGATATGGTTGGTAGTCTAAGCATGAGATCCTGTAGATGTGAGAAAGCACGTTGCTGCTCTACTGTCCATGTGAAAGCAGACCCTTTCTTCAACAAAGGGCTAAATGCGGATAGAATTCCTACCAATGAAGGAATGAATCTATGGATATATGAGACCTTGCTGATGAAGCTTCATAGCTATTTAAGGTTCTTAGCCGGCTGCATGGCTCGAATCACTTCAGACTTGGTTGGATCCACACTGATACCGTGTTTGCTCATAAGGAAGCCCATAAATTTTCCTACGGAGACATCGAATGCACACTTCACTGGGTTCATTTTTAGCTTGTACAAGCGGCATTTCTCAACGACTTTTCTCAATACATCAAAGTGGCCCAATCTTGTTTTAGACTTCACCACAAAATCATTAATGTAGATTTCAATATATACGTGGTTGAAATCATGAAAGATTGCCACCATGACTCTTTGATAAGTCGACCCAGCATTTTTAAATCCAAATGGCATAACGACATGGTAAAAATTGCCAATAGGAGTGCAAAAAGCAGTTTTCTCTGCATCGCTAGGGCACATACTGATTTGGTTATACCAGCTACTGCCATCCATGAAGGAGTGCATTTCGCAACCAGCCATATTATCCATTAGCACATCCATATCTGGGATAGAGAATTCGTCCTTGGGACAGGCCTTGTTGTGGTCACGAAAGTCCACACAGCACTTGATCCACTCATTCTTCTTTCAAATTGGTACAATGTTGATTAGCCAAGTAGGCTTCTTTGTTGGCTTGATAAATTCTGCAGCCAAGAGCTTCTCAACTTCTTCTTTGATTTTCAGAGTAACTTCTAGATGGAAGGCACAATTTGGCTGCACAATTGGTTTCATATTAGGATCAACATTCAAGGAGTGCACCACCAAAGCTAGATCAAGCCCCAACATCTCATCATAATTCCAAGTGAAAACATCCTTGTATTTCTACAGCAAGTCAATCATCTTAGCTCTTTCGTTAGCAGAAAGAGTGGTGCTAATATGTACTTGCCTAGGGTTCGCTGAGTCATCTCCAAGATCGACAGCTTCGAGGGACTCTAGAGAAGTGAACACTAGTTGAGCCTTATGGAGGGTTGGCAACTCATCTGGTGGTATCAGATGATCAACTTCACCAGAAGAATCCAAGTGCTCGATAAGTATTTTATTTCTAGCCTCAAGAGTGAGGTGAGGCATTCTGCTTTGCTAGAGAGTTTTGGTTCATTAATTGAGGCGCCTCTCCTCGAGGTGAAAAAAGGATGATCCGAGGACATAATTGCACTACTGGAGATGAAGCCACCCCGTGTATGACTAAAGGGCCCCGTGCACCTTCACAAAGTGTACTTGATCCTCCCATCGGGCAGGATGGTTTGGGTGCATTTTGGGCACACTTGGACAGTCTTCACTACCTCCTTCTTCTGCCTCTTATGTTCCAAGATACTTCGCAGATCGAGATCAGGATTATCTTTGATGTCATTCCATGCTAGTAGGATAGTGCCACTTGGGTGAGACATGGTCGCTTCACCAGAAAGAGCAAATTCATCAGAAAAAGCAGCCTTAGCGAAGTGGGTCTCAATCTGGTCAAATGGCAACGGGTTGGTAGAGATACAGAAAACCTTCCCATGTAGACGACCCTTAACACATTGATGATAAGTGGAAGGAATAATTTTGTGTCGATGCAGCCATGACCATCCCAGAAATATATGATAAGAAACTTACGCATTAATGACGTAAAATGTAGTTTGGGATTGGACTATACCAACCTTTAATTCAAGCTGAATGTATCCAAGGGCATCTTCACTGTTGTTGCTGAAGCCAACAATGCTGAGTGGAGACCTAACAATCCTTCGTTGGGGGACTCTTACGATGGTGATGGTGCTCAGCGGTATTAGGTTGAGAGCAGATCCAGTATCAACAAGTGCACATTTGACACTGACAGAGTTAATCTGAGCAGATAAGTAAAAAGGCTTCTTGTGATCAGGATATGGCGCTTCCATATCTTCGTCGGTGAATGTGATGGCGTTAGAGAACTCCAGATAAGCACGGATAGCATGTGCTTCGGCATTGAGACATTCTCCTCCGATCTAACTGGCAATGGAGACTATGGCCTCGATGGCTCTTCGTCATGCATCAATGGTGAAACCGAGCTGATCGAATAGCATTTTGAACTTCAAGGCTTGTTGGAGTGCACGAATAGAGAGATTAAGTGCATTGTCAAGAAAGTTGATTATTGGTGCACTCGCCCCAACATTCTCCACATGAGTGAAAATGTTGACAGTGCTTTGGTTATGGTGTGGAAGAGGATCCTTGTCCACTCTCTATCTTCTATTCGGCACTTCTAACAACCCTTCTGAAACCCGTTGATGATATATCCTTCTCAAGAAGAAAAGTAGTCCATGGTCGCATGATGGACAAAGCAATGGTAACGACAATATTTGGGGTTGCGTTTATCATCATCGCTGGGCTCACGATGCTGTTGAGGCAGTGTGATAGCACCATCAGCAATCCACTGTTCTAAGAGCACATTAAGTTTTTCGACAATTAGAGGAATGGGCGGTGGCAATGTTGTATCACGATCTCTCTTTTTCTGACCTTGCCCCTAGCCACGGACAGAGACAGCCAAGGTATGAGCAGTGGTTTTCTTTTCTGTGGACTTCACCGCAGACTTCCCAGTAGAGATGGCTTTAACAGAGATGGCTGTTCTCCTAGCAACATCGAGCAACCTTGCAAACTGATTGATCTTGATGTTTTCAAGCACAATGCGATACTCCGAGAACATATTATTGATGCAAATCTCCACCAAGAAGGACTCAGCATGGCCACCGTAACAATCAAGTGTCAAATCTCTAAACCTCTTCACATAAGCCATTAAATCCTCACCGATGCATTGGCGAGTGTTGTGGAGATCAAGGATAGTGATGCGCTTTTCACTTTGGAAATATTTCTGACAAAATTGCTCCACCATCTCATCTCAAGAGTGGATAGAACTAAGAAGCAAAATGGTGTACCATGTATAAGCTTTATCAGAGAGAGACTTTGAGAACTCGTGCAAACACAAGTCTCTGTCACCGACGTGAGCCCCCATGGCATCAAGGAACTTATTGGCGTGCTCCACAACGCTGCCTTTTCTCCCATCATATTGTAGGAATGTAAGACTCTCATATTTTTTTAGGTATAGTGATGCACTAAAATCACCCTAGCAAGTGTACTAGTCGCTCCAAGTAATATAATGATGAGAAGAGTGTCGAACCCACAAGGATTGTGTCTAACTAAGTACCAAAATAATTAATCCAAATTTATTTGAACAACCAAATGGGAAGAAAGTTTAACTAAAATAATAAAAGGAAAATAACAATTAAATTAAACCTAACCAAGATATGGAATACTAAGGCATTGACTTCACCATAATCAATCAATATAAATTCTGGATTACTAAATTGTTGAGTGTTATTACATGTGATGACGGATTTCCCTAAATTAATTAACTAGCTTTCTCAAGTCAAGTTAATCCTTCACTGGTTTGTTAAATTAATCATATCTCTATGTAATTTTAAACAAACTCATGAGCATTAAATTCTATGAAAACCTCTAGCTTAAGAAGGGGGAGCTACTAACTCTCTTCTCTTCCTCCACTACCACATGTGAGCTAATTACCTCTCGGTCTCATAGTCTAGCACACGGTTTATATTATTA